AGGGAACCAGCCCAGAGTGGGGACGAGCTTGGCCAGTCTGAGGTTCCTCAAAGTAGCCAGTGCGGCTGGGACAGAGGGCTGGGGAGGGGCAGTCAGGGCCGGGTGGCCTGGGGCTGCCCAGACCAGGAGGGATGGGCCCTCTTGGCTGGGAAGGTGAGTCGTGCTGAGCTGTGAGCAGGGTGGCGGTACAGCTTGATTTAGATTGTTAGGCAGTTCTGGGTGCTTTTGTGGAGCCACAGCGGAAGGGACATGATCGGATGACTTTTGAATGGTCACCAAAGAGCTGGCAGAGGTTTTGCCCAGGAGATGTGACCCAGATCTCGAGGGCGGTCCCCAGGCCTGGCTGGATGTGGTCTCTCCAGGCAGCTACCACCTCCCACGGCGCTGACGCTCCCTTTCTACTTCATCACTTATGGGAACTTCTCTCCAAGGGCACGGCTCTGCAGCTCGAGGCGGCCCTCCAGCCCCCCCAAGACGGCTCCTGATCTTGACTGTGCAGATTATACTCACTGTTGAGTAGCAATCACTGTGGAGGATCACAGGCATTGGCCCTGCTTGCATTCGTCTTGTTGGGGGGACAGAAAATAAACAAAGATACAGAGTGACCTAAAGAATGACACCTGTGAAGGAGAGGTACACAGTTAAGGAGAGGTTTGAGGCAGCCCTGAGGACCTGAGACTGGGAAGGAGTGGGGTGGAGCAGAGTAAAAGCACATGCAAAGGCCCTGGGGCAGGAGGAACAGGGCTCCTTCTAGGAAGCTTTGCTGAGCAGATGGCAAAGAAGGCAGGATGGCGCCAGTGTGGGTGATTTTTTTGGTAGCAGAAGTCAAGGCAAACTTGGTGACTTCTGTATCTGTGAGGATGAGACAGCAAGTCAGAAGGTTGAGAGAGGAGAGAACGTTTAAAAAATGCATTTCCCGGGGCTATGGCTCAGCTGTAGAGCGCTCCCCTAGCCTGTGCAAGGCTCTGGGTTCGATCTTCAGCACCACATAAAAATAAATAAATAAAATAGAGGTATTGTGTACACACACACACAAAAGATACAAAATGCATTTCCCAGAACATTTAAAAAATGCATTTCCCAGTATAATACTGGTTTGGGGAAAAGTTCTGTGGCTGAAAGGCATATTTGGCCTGGAGATAAGTTTTATTTGAAGCGGATGGTTTACATAAAAGATCCAAGTTTCCAATCTCCCTGCTTAGATTGAAAGAGAGCACACAGTCAGTCTGACGTTGATAGGCACTTATGACCTTGACACCTTTGGTCAGGATTCCCGAATCATTCCAGAGAAAGGAGGAGAAAGGCGCAATGCCCCAGAGGCGGGATGCACCAAGGACTTCAGTTATGATTTTAGCCTCATGAAAATTCCAGGGAAGTCCAAAGTTCACCAAAATCTGCCGTAAACCAATTCAAAGGAGGTCTTCCATACCTCTAGACCTGGGGACCCGCACCTGCTACACTTTTGTCTTTATTTAAAAGAAAAAAGAGGAATGACTCATTATGCTAATGCAGATGAACACAGATGACACCCCTGTTTATTTTTGTTATTTATTTATTTATGTTCTCAATTCCCTTGAAGCAGGGGGGGGGGTGGGAAGACAGCGCAAACCCCGCCCACCTCTTCCTTCTTTCTTTTTAAGTTCACTGTGGAGAAATCGCCATATTGTAAACTTGTGGAGGGCCCGCCAGTTAGAAGAAAAAGGTCTCTATGACCTAAGCAATGCCCGTAAGAAGCAGAGCTAAGAAAACATGGAGGAAGACAAGAAAACATGGAGGGAAGAAGGTGCAGAAGTGTTTTAAAATTAAAATAAAATTTCATGATGAAAAGATCACATTCCAACCCAATTTAAGAGGTGGAAGAGCAGCAGAGGAATCAGGGCACAGAAATTCAGATTTTTTTTTTACCCTCAACAGGACCTAAAGGTCTTGATGTCTGAGAAGAACCGGGAGGAACCGTGTTGATGCTTAAAGAAATCCCACCCCCAGCCCAAAAATCCCTACCTGGGAATTTCTACCCAGGACATAATTTGAATGAAAATAAAAAATGTGAGTTTATACATGAGCATGGGTGGATGTTTGCTGCTTTGCAATTTGCAACATTTAAAAGAAGACTTTCTTGGGGGGGGGCTGGAGCAGCGCATCACTGTGTGGATCAAACGGTCAACCGCAGTGGGGCTGGAGGGAGGCCCGTTGGTCTGAAGGAGGAGGGGGCCTGAGGTTTGGGAGGGTGTTGTCGAGGGATGTTTAAAGAGTCATTAAATGTATATAGGGAGAAGGAAGGAAGATTCTAGAATAAGACTCAGCCTGGGGGTTTGCAGGTTATCCAGCCTGGGTCTGCCTATTGATGAGGGCCTGGGTGAAGGGGCACAGGGCTCGGGAGCCTTAAGCCATCATTTGCATTGTCCTTTCTCTACAAAGCCAAATAGTTGACGTGTACTGAGATGAAGGAATTCCTTACCAAAGTGAGATTCCCCGGGAGATAAGGTTGTGTAACACATTTTCCTCTTGTATTCACATATCCGAGCAGTGTGTCTCTGTCTGTGTTCTGCTGCTATAACAAGATATCAGAGTGGGTAAGCTATAGACAGTAGTGTTTGCCTCAAGGTTCTGGAGGCTGGGAAGTCCAAGAGCAGGGTCCAGCTCCGACAGGGTCCTGCAGCTTCATTAGCACAAGGCAGAGGCGGAGGGGCGCAAGGGAGACAGGGAGAAACCAGCCCACACTCATCCTGTCTATTGGAGCCGCTGCTGAGATCATCAACCCACAACCATTCCTGAGGGCCCCCAAGTCCTAATCTCTTCTTAAAGGTCTCACCTCTTAATTCCATCACAATGGCCATGACATTTCAACGGTGAGCTCTGGAGGGTCATTCAGACCACAGCACCACGTCCATCCCTATGCTACCACGTACTGCATTCCCCTGAAAGCCACACTTTTTTTTAACTCCCTGTGATTGGACATGGAATGTATTTCCAGGTTGTCTCTAATCTCCTGCTTTAGATATTTTTATGCCTTAGTCTCTGCTTGTTTATTTTCTAAAATTGGAATGACTGGGTCAAAGAATGTGCCCAATCTTCCGTTTTTAGTAGAAGCTGCAAATTATCTTCTGAAACATCCACCAGTTTATACGTCCACCTTTTTGGCTTTTCCACCTATTTCAAAAACCCTGCGCCCCACGGCAGGCAGTGTAGGGAGCAAGAGGAGCAAAGGGAGGGAGTGGGGGAGCTGCAGGGCAGGTGCAGCCCGGGGACTCTGGTGACCGCTCTCTGCCTGCGGGGAGCTGGGGTGAGGCGCGGCTCCGCCCAGCGTAGCAACCCTGGCTCCCTGGCCTTAGGTGAGGCTTCCTGTCTCCAAACTTCTGTTTCCCCATCTTTAACCGCAGAGGAGCGTAGGGCCATGTCACCGGTTGTCACGGGGAGGCATGGTGAGCCCTCAGGCCTGGCGCCTGCCTCCTGCCCCACGATGCCCGCACACTCTCTGAACCTCTGCGTCTTCGCCAGCCTGGCTTTCACAGGGACCTGCGCCTGCAGCGCCACTCGGACTGTCAGCACCCCAGCTGGTGTTTGCGGGGGTCACAGTGCCATCCGGTCTTACCCAGGTACAAGCTCCCCTGCCTGGGGGCCCCTGTCATGCCCTCTGTCCTCTGAGGCACCGGTGAACACCAGAGCACCTCCCTGTTAACTGGGTTTCCCGCAGTCCCTGTGTCCCCTCTACGGGTGTGGCTGGGGTCCGAGCACGGCGTCAGTCCTGGCCCAGCAGCCCCCGTGCTGTTACCTCCCTTCCCTGAGACTCAGTTTCTTCATCTGTGAGATGGCCGATAGCAGACCTGCCACTTAAGGTCGTGACTGATGGAGGAATGTGCTCAGCACGGTCACACGGGGCTCGGGAAGGGGGCTGGGAGGAGCCTCGGGCTGTTATGGTGGCCATCTTGCTTGCTCCCGCGGCCGCTGACCTTCGAGCCCTGTCCTGTCCACTTGCAGCTCTGAGGAGGCCTGCTAAGGTCCTCACCTTCCACCTGTGCCGGGCCAAATTCCAACATCACCCCAGGGTGACCTTTCCGAGGCTTGTCTGGGGCGTGTCACCCTCTGCTCAATATCCGGACTTGTCCTAGTGGGGTTTGAATCTGGCTCCAGGGTCAGTTCTAATGTGGTCATTTGTTCACAGCACCCCACCCCACCGTCCCTTCCAGCTGTCCCCAGGCTCTGCTCCAATCTCCCTCTCCTTTCCCACCCGTCGGTGAAATGCGCCCAGCCCCTGGACAGAGGCTGATTCTCCAGGTCCCAGCAGGTCCCAGCTGGCCCCACCTGGTGCGGCAGGCATCGCCCCTGCCCTTGGAGCTTGTCCCCTCCCCCACCATGTGCCCTGGAATTCACTCCCTGTCCTCTGAGCCTGGTCCTTGGTGTACCTCATGCTCCTGAGGTTCTGTCTCCATGTGACACTGGTCCTCCTTGAGGGCAGATGTCTCCACGTTCACCCTCTCATCGTCCCCCTGCCCCAGCTCCCTTCCCAAGCTCTTGACGTGTGCTCAGGGTCCTGTCCATAGATGACATTTTTCTAGGATTCAGATGTGCAGAACTTTACCCCCAGACCAAATGCTTGAGAGAGATGGGCGTTACCCTTCCTGTGACTTACTCCGAGATGATAAGGACAAAGAATTTCACACATGGCAATGCCTGTCACCCAGAATGGGTGTGTCTGTAGATGTGCAAGTGTGTTCTGGAACAGCAGGACGGGCCCGAGGAGAGGGTTTCCTGGCCCTGGAGGGGTAGGGACAGCTGCGGTGCTTGCCTGCTGGTACGCGCTCTGCTCTGGAGGGAAGGGAGGCCCTGGCCCTGCGCTCCCGTCCTGTCCTAAAGGCATGTGGCTTTCATGTCAATTTGTTTGGTCCTGTTCCGCTGTCATGCAGCATGACTGGAAAGGAAGTGGGTGGTTGACTTGCTGCTGGGAGCTAAGGAATGTCACGTCGCTCCAGTGTGCTTCACATTCCCAGAAATACGCTGAAAGGAGGAGGGTGACTCAGAGTCCCTGACTTTCCACAGCCCAACCGCTGGGCCTGGGCGGTGCTGAGGAGGACGGGAACACGAGGTGCCCGGACGGTGCCCCCACCCGGGCTGCTGTGGCTGAACCAGGTCAGCTCAGGGGTATCTCCTGGCTGGAGAGGGCCCTGGGTCCACTGGTGCTTGCAGGTTTCTAGCTGTCCCCAGGTCCTGCCCAGGGATGTGTCAGGGAGGAAAAGGTGGTGGTGTTGGGCCAACATGGGGAAATGTCTGACCGCGGTTGTGATTTCCCGCTGGGCACGAGTGAGGGAGGGCCTCTGTGCTTGGACCTAGCCTGGCAGTACTAATCCCTCTTCTCCGACCTCTGAGCTTACGCTCCCTGGCTCTTCCTCCAGACCCTCCCATGGCCCCCCTCCCCCCTCAGAAAAACATCTTTCCTGGTGGAAAGGCCTGGAAAATCATTTCGAGGGCAAGAATTTGGCCATGATCCCTGAAAGGGAAGCCCAGGCTTTGCAGGGGTTTCCAGAGAGAAGCCACCTGGTGCTCTCTACCCACCTCTGGGTGCCCGGCCACCCGGCTAACGAGCCATGAGATGGGTCCAGGGACCAGCCCGCCCTGCCAGAGGCCGCCTCACCCCAGCCGAGGATTCCCGCTGCTGGCCCGTCGGTGCGCCCTGTTCCAGGGTCCGCAGCCCAAAGCAGGGCTGAGCTGGGGCACCCTGGGCTCTGTCTGCAGGCTCAGGCCCCGTGTGTTTACTCACCAGAAAGACAGCTCCCACTTCCCAAGGCTGCCAATAGGAAGCTTCCATGCAGGAGCGCCAGCTGGGGCCTAGGAGAGCCCTGAGCTTGTCCCCAAGCAAAACTGGTTCGCACTGAGGACACCGGAAGGAGGCAGGCGGGCGCCGGCTCCAGTCCCGCACCCCATCTCCTCACCTCCCACTCGCTATCGCTGAACCATCTTGCCCCGTGACTCACCTGCACGGGCATGTGGCGATGGCACCTGGGGGCGGGGCAGAAGCCACACAGGTGCGGAGCCCAAGTTCTAGGGCCCCGGGGCCCCCAGACCTCGGCTGGCTGCTGCTCCCGCTTCCTGGCCGTCTCGGCCTTCACCCTCCGCGTCCGAGGACCAGGAGTAACAACAGCACCGTCTCCTAGGGCTGCGCACTCAGGCACGGCTGTTACCAGGTGGTGCTTCCAGGTGTAGGCGCCCCCCACCCCCAGGCTCAGGGCTCGTGGCCTTGAGTCTTGCCCTGTGTCTCTGAGGGTTCATTCCGTCAGCCCCGCTATACCTGAGTGCTCAGCACCAGCTCAGTCTGGCAAAGAGCAGGGAACTCAGAGTCACTCGGAGACTCAGCAGACATGAGATGGGGCACCTCTGACACCAGAAGGGGCCAGCTTCAGTGGAAAACGGGCAGGGACCAAATGAAAGATTCAGATGACGAGGGGATGGGACTCCTTTCCACATCTCTCAGGAGACTGCTATGCTAAGACGTCACAGCACCAAGGGATTCAGTCCCCAGTACCAACACCCATTCATACACACACACACACACACACACACACAGATTAATAGGTACAAAGAAATCCTACCAGTCTGGGTTGTGGCTCTGTGCTAGAGCACTTGCTAGCAGGCCTGAGGCTCTGGGTTCGGTTCCCAGAACCACACACACACACACACATTTCTTAAAAGAGAAACGTATCATTCGCCTTCTAACCTGGGAATTCTTTCAGTCACAGCTAAGCTAGAGTCCTCCTCCAAATTCTTTCCCCCCTGGGGCTCCTGACAGTGGGGACTGGAGAGGCCCCCAGAGGAGGCTGTCCCCAGAGGCTGCAAGGACTGAGGCTGACTTGCTTCCTCCCCTGTGTCTGCGTCTCTGCCACCCCTGGAGTCATCGCAGGTACGTGAGGCTGCATGCACATTTCTGGTCCAGCTTTCTTGGCCTGTGGCCAGTGCAGATGAGGAGACCCTGCACTCAGAGGGGACCCTGAACTCAGAGGGGACACTGCCCAGGGATATTAAGCTCTGCAGTGGCCACAGGTACCCCAAACAGAGTCACAGCAGGGCTCTGGGCATCTGGGATGGTCTGCACTCCCGGAGAGCTCTGTGAGGTGCCCCATGTCCTAAGAAGCACCCCATTAAGCAGCAAATCTAAACGATCCTGACAGGTCAAGAGGGAGACCCTGGAGGAGAAGCAAAAGCCCTGCCTCCTGCTTTGGAAGGGTCCCACAGCTGGGGACTAGCAGTGACGCAGTGAGAAGAGCTGGCTCGACTGGGCCTAACTCCTCTCCTGTGTCACGTCTCACCTCTGCTGGAGACACATGGACTCTCTGGGTTCTGCACTTGAGATTTTGTGCATTACAGAGCGGAGGACGAGCTCCCTGTTCTGCAAGGACACTCCGAGGGACGGAGGAGTCCAGGTCAGTGTAGTATTATGATAGCCCAGGGCCAGCTGTCACCTGATCCCAGTCTTGACTCCCTCCCCAACGAGAAGAGATAGGACAACATGATTTTCAGGATCTTTTCTAGTTCTGAGAATATCTGTGGTTCCTGGGGCACCACACGTCTGATTTCTGCTCCTGCAAGCCCCGTGCTCAAACAACAGGGGCTCCTCCTTGTCCCTGAGACCAGGCTGCGGAGCCTGTGCTCATTTGGAAACAAAAATTTCTGAGTGGCGGTTGGAAGCAATGGAGAGGGGGCATGTGCTGAAGTGCGGTTTTGTCGTTGTTATTATTTCTGTACTGCGATGGACCTGATGTGCTGGGTCCCAGGATGCAATATTGCCTTCGCAGAGCGGGCGTGACAGGGATTTCAGAAATTCTGTTATTTCAGATCATCAGGAGAAGGGCCAGGAGAGGGGCCAGGCAGTGTGGGGAATGAAAGTAAGGGAAATATAATTGCACAAAAAATAACAAAAGGCTTTAAAGAATGCCATACAACAGGACGGGACCTTGAAATCCTTCTGGTCCAGTTTCCTAAGACAGTGAAAATAGCAATGAAGGTGCAGTCGTCTCTTAATATCCTACTAAAACCCTCAGACACTCAAATTCCCGATGTATAAATTAGCACAGCGTTGCATAGAACCTACACACGACTGCAGGACACTTTAAATCATCTCTAGGTTACTTACAGCACCTAGTGTAATGCAAATGCTGTATCACAGGGTGTTGTGCTGTATTGCTTAGGGAATAATGACAATAAAAAGTCTAGATGTGTCTGCTTATAGGCATATTTTTTCTCCCCCCAAATACCCTTGATCTGTGATTGGTTGAATCTGTAAGCGCAGAACCCTCAGACACCAGGGCCAGCTTGAATTTCCTCCTTTACTCTAAATGAAGATTTGGTGTCAGACCCAAGATCCCTTAAAGAAAGACAGAAGCTTCAACTTGAGCTCTCTTTGGCCCTCAGGAATCTCTAATTTTGCAGCAGGTGCAGTAACTGGGGTGCAAATAGTTGACGAAGAGGAAGTTTTCTTCCTTTTCAAGATGCAACTGGGTAACAATCCCAGGGATTAGTCAGGAAGGATCTAGCTAATTCCGTGGTCAAAAACTTCTCCCACTTTTCCGGCACATTTTGGAAAAATGACTAAAATGTTTTGTACATCCATTTTCCCAAGTAGAAATTCAGAAAAAATTATTTCAACCTATTTTATAGAAGGATTGGAAGGATAACACAACCCGGGATTAGATGGAAGAAACTCTTGGCTCCGATGGTCCTGTCCTGGGGAAGATGGCCGGGCCCCAGGGAAGCCCATGTTGTGTAAGTTGTGCCTCTAGGACAACTGGTCTGATTAGAATCTATTATCAGGGCATTGGTAAGTGTCCCACGTGGGCCCTGGAGTGAAAGTGTAAGGGGAGCGGGTGGCCTGTCCTCACCCCAGAGCCAAGCTCTCAGCCCTGTGGGCCTCAACTGGGCAGCCAAAGCCCCTGTCCTCTCTCAGCCCACCGCAGAAAGTCTTTTTATTTTACCACACGCACATTTTCTTCCCTCCCTCGGCAATGACTCAGAGCACTTTACAGCTCGCAGTTTTAGGAATGTTCTAGCTGTTTCTCATTTTAGGGAGGGAGCAGGTTCCGGGGCTGAGCGCGACCTGATCTTTCTGAGTCAGATCTCCTCTCAAGCCAACCTCAGCCAGCTGTTGCCTAACGACACTTGCTGTGCGGACACCGGACACCCGTGAGGACATACACAGACCCAGAGGAGGGGCCCGCATCGCCTCTGGGTCGCATGGTGTGGCCTGTTATTAAATTTTCTTCTCTTTCTACTTTTCAAACTTTTTTGTTAAAAACTAGGACACGGACCCCACATGAGCCTGCGGCAGGAGCTTCCATTCTGCTGTGCATCTTGTCCCCCTGAAGGTCTGGGGGCAGCAACTTGCAGGGAGCTGCCATCTGTGACAGCGATGCCCTCTCCTGAGGGAGACGCCTGCCCGACAGGTAGGTAGGTGTCCACTCTAGAACAACAATCAAGGGCAAGTCAATACATCAACCAGCAACAGTCGTCGGTTTCCATTTTCAAGTCTGACTTGAAAACGTGCCTGTACTTTACTGAATGCCCTTCCGTGTGACTGGCAGCGCCACGGGCTCACTTCACCAGGACCACCAGAGACCCGAGGAGGGCGTCATGCTAAGACATTGCAGTAGCCACGGCACCACCTGGCCTTGGGAACTTCCCGGCTCCTGTATGACCTTATGGACCCACAGTCCTATCATTGAACACAACGCCCGTATGCAGTGCTGGACTGAGTGGCCCTGAGGGTCTCTGGTGGTCCCTGATCACTTTTCCCACTGCAGGCCCAAAATGTGCACTGGGCATTCCTCCCTGGCCTTTGTTGTTTTTGTAGAAGGTTCTCAGCTGGCCCAGTGTAGCCACATGGGCCAAATGCCAGAGGGCCAAGCTCGGGACCTTCAGTCTGTGGACAGCAGAGAGCAAAGCCCGAATCCACCACTGGCCATAGAACTCGGCCATTTCTCCCATTAGCTTGTTCAGTCCTCCGGAGAGCCCAGGGAGGAGGCCCCTGACTCCCATTCACAACCAAGGGGAAGGCGGACAACCAAGGGGAAGGGGAGCAACTTCTCCAGATCCCCAGGCTTCTTGCTGTTCCCCCAGAGGCTACTTCAGAGACGTCATCTTCCTGGCAGATGATCGGGCGAGGGCTCAGGGAGACGTCAGGCAGATTCCTGACCCTGCAGGGTAATCGGACTCGCCTGAAGGAGCGAGCAGACAGCACTTCGCAGGCCTCGGGCCTAAAGGTGCAGTCAACAGGATGTTGAGCCCTGGAGCCCTTGGACCTCAGGGTCTCCTGTGCCACTTGCTCCCTGTCTTGTGCCCAGGACAGATGGGTCCGGCCATCTGGGGGCTTCCTTTCTAAGAGTCTGAGCACAACAGTGACTGATGTTGCCTTGACTCTGGATCCAGGGCCTCCCTCCCTGCCCCGGGTTTTAAATTCCTCTTAGGAAGAACAGCTGGTCACTGCAGGGTCATGTGACCCTTGAACACCTTATGAGCAGATTAGCATCACAGTACAGACTGTGTCCTTCATCGGAAAACTTGGGACCAGAGTGTTGTAGAGTTTGGATTTTTTTTTCCAGATTTTAGAAATGTTTGCATGTACATAATGAGATATCTTGGGGATAAATGCAAACTTCATTTATGTTTCATATTAGTGTGTACACATGGCCTGAAGGTAATTTTATACAATGTTCTTACTAATTCTGTTGCATTCTGCAACCCATCGCAGGAGGTCAGGTGTGGAGTTTTCCACTTGTCGGGTCCATGATTCAAGAGTTTCAGATTTGGGGCTTGTGCTAAGGATGCTCAAGGTCTACAGAGGAACAAGCAGGGCAGTCAGATGCCTGGGCCCGAATCCTGACTCCCTCGCACACACCAGCAGTGTGAACACAGGCGGGTCCTTTGCTGCTTCCTGCCTCGGTTTCCTCATCTGTAAAAGGACAGGGATAGCAGTGCCGTCTTGCAGGGCTGTTTGAAGATTCGATGAGTGCTTGCGCATGGAGGCACATGGAGCCGCGTGGGGCAGGAGTTGGCACCATCTTTGATCTGTACACATCTCTTGCAGCACTGGGCAGAGCCCCCCTGAAGGGACCTCAGGAGGACCTCGTGCAGGCTGGGGACATTCTGTCTTCTGAGTCGAGCTGCTCTGTCTAAGAAAATTCTTCCTACGTTTTGCCAAAAGTCGCCTCCCTGCAACTCCTCCTTGTGGGTCCTGGTTCTGTCAGAAGCAAATGTCAAACAACAGTCCTGAAGGAGAAGACCTGGGACATCAATAGTCCTGATGGAACTGGGCTGGGTGATGGCATCTCCTGCAGCGGCCATCCCCGTGGCTCTTAGCCCCAGAGCCAGGCCCGGACTGAAGTCAAGGATCTTTCAGTGAAATCTGAAAAACCAAAAAGTTCTCAGTTCTTGGATGCTTCTGTTAGCAAAGCATAAAACAGCTTCTTTCTCCACTCTTTCAGCCCAGAGCGTGCTGCCAGACTGGCAGGAGGCCAAGGGGAAAGGCACTCTCCTTGTGCAAAGATGACAGTCACACGGCTCCGGAGCCATGACCTCACCTCAGTTAATACGTGCTGTCCAGCCTGTAATCACTGAGCATCCAGGGAGTGGGCCAGCGAGGTAGCCACCCGCGTCAGGCCTCCTGTTTACAGAGCCTTTCTGGCGTCAGGTGTAAAATCATGACCCGCGAGTCCCCTTCCTGCCTCGCCTGGCAGCCCTTTGGAAGCTGGCGTGTGCGCTGTGACACAGGAGGAATGCACCTGTCTTTTTTTAGATTGATAGCTTGGCTCTCTGATGACTCCTGTTAAAAACAACTTGTACACTTGAAGTTCACAGCATCAGAGTGGGGAACCTGCATCAGGTGCCTTCGGGCCGGGCAGGGGGAGTTTGGTCTCCGGAGTGTGGGCAAAAGAACGGTTGCATTATTTTTCTAAATCAGAGGTCATCTGGCAATATCAGTCACTATTCGGTTACTTTGTCCATCCAGCTGCTCATCCAAGAGGAAGCATACTTTGGGGCACTGTGGCCAGGCCTCTGCTGCCCTGGCTTCTGGGGCCGAGCACTGCTGTAGCTGAGGGTCCCATGGATCTCAGGCTCTTGCGAGTGCTCCAAGGACTTGGCCCCAGAAATGCCCCTCCCTGGGTCAAGAACCCACAGGTGTCTGCAGCCTCTGTCCTTCCCCGCCCAGGTGCCGTGTGCAGCAAGGCCTCGCTCCAGTCCTGGTGTGCCCCCCACCCTTTTCCCCTCAGGCATGCAGAAGCACTCTGCCAAGGCTGCCCCTGCCACTTTGCATGAGCCTCCCTTCCTCCCTCCCTCACCAAGGGACAGTCCGATGACAGCAGTCCTCCCTTCTTCAAGGGGGATGTATTTCAAGAGCCCAGACGATGCCTGAACCCGGGAATAGTACCAAACCTGGGACCTACTGTTTTTTCCCCAGACGCTTAGACCCACAAGAGTTTAGGGCCGTTTCCATCCTGACCAAACCCTACCCCATACGATGGCTACAGCGTTCGCAGCGTGAGGTGGGACAGCGACGGGGCGTGGGTTTCTTCCCCTTCTTCACTGCATCATGGACAGACAGACGCTCCTTCTTACCCACAGATCTTTGCAACTTCAGTTCATGGTTTGTTTCCTTCTTAAGTCAAGAACTTTCCCTTTTCCTCTCACAGGAAGCGCTTCATGGCCTATCTGACTGCCAGCGTCCCTGCTCTTGTGCTCAGGGGCCATGATTAAGTAAAATAAAGGCCGCCTGAACACAGGCACTGTGATCTGATAACAGGGATGGCTGGGAGGTGACTAAGGGCGGGTGAGGTCCTCGGTGCCAATGTCCAGGACGGTGTTCCTGGTGTGCGACTTGGGTGGATGGAGCCCAGTGCGATTTAAAATGTAGGCACTGCTTACTCCTGGAGTTTTCCCCTTCACATTTTCAGGATGAAGCAGGTCACCGAAAGCTCAGAAGGGAAATGGGGGAAGGGCCCAGAAAAGAGACCCCAGAACTCTCAAAATGGGGAGGCGCCCGTGGGAAAGGAAGCCGAGTGCTTCTCCCTGATGCGGGGCAGGACCACGGCCAGCCACACACCCGAGACACAGCCCGGGCTTCCCAAGCCCTGCCCTGGTGACCTGGTTTCATGTACATCACTGAATCCTGTCAGGTGCTCCAAGTCCAGGTTGTCAGCCCATCTCTGGGTCCCAGGGTCAACCAAGGTCGCCTGAGCATCTCTTCTCAGCAGCAGGTTCTGAAGGCTCCATTCCCACAAAGTTGGTCAGCTGGGGACCAGCAGCTGCCATTCCTATCCCTCTATGTGCAGGGAGGGGTCAGGCATGAGACCCAGGCAGGGACAGCTTGGCCTCCATTCTTTAGAAAGAAAGCATTGTTTTTGATCCAGACAGATTTTATGTTTTCTGCATTTTAAATATTAGCTAGTGCTAGTCCCTCATCGCTTGACCTCAGGCATCAGGGCGGCCTTGTCCCCTGAGACCTCTTTTGTGAATCTGGGGACCTGCCTCCCAGGGCTGTCCTCCCCGGGACTCTGGGGCACAGAGGTATTGTGTTTTCTCTCCGGCTTCTCTGAACACTTCCTTGGTGGGCTATCCCCAGCCACCTCTCCTCCCTCCTCCCCACAGGTGGACCGGTCCCAAGTTTCTGGCCTTGGACCTCCTGCCTTGGGTCATAACTGCTCCCAGTTTACTGAGGGCATGAACTCCCTCCTGAATCAACAGAGGACACTGACTCACCAGCGGGGGACCTCCTGGGCAGCAGACCTCTCTACGGTGGAGTGCCGTCTCTACGCCCACATCCCCCTCAGAGCCAGGCACCTCTGACCTGTGCTGGCTGCACATCACCCAGCCCCCCCCTCCCCGACTCCTGCCCAGCCCCCTTCTCCGTCTTGCTCCCAAGTCACAGGAAGCTCTAGAAGACACAGGCCTGCAGTCACAGCCTCTAGCCACTCACCTCTCACCCTTTCCTGGCAGAACTCCCAGCTCCTGCTGTGGGAGGTCTTTAGATGACCTCTGATTCCTTGTCCATCTTCCTTCTCAGGAACCCATGCGGAAGCCAGGGGAACAGGCCTCCTGAGCCGCTGCTCCTCTGCCTTTCCATTCTTGCCTCGTCTCAGGGGGAGGTCCCCCTTCTCTCCCCACAGGCCCTGCTGTCTGCCCTCCCAGGCCCTTGCTGACCGAGTGCCCTGAATCTCTCTGGCCTCACTTCCTCCCCTGCACAGGGGAGCTAATCGAACCAGTGTGGGCACTGGAGTAAAGATGAGGGGGCACGGTGAAACGTGTCACCTAGAACCTCATGAAGTCAGTGCTCCCTCTCGGGAGGTGATGGTGATGGTGAGGATGGTGATGCCCAAAGTGGACTGTCCCTGAGATGGATCAACCTGAAGGTCTCCCCTTTGTCCCCACAAGGGGACGCAGGTCCACACACAGCTCGCTACACCAAGCCTGAGGCTTGACCTGTGCTCCCACACCTTCATACACCCGAGGTCAGGTCAGAGCACTGCCGTGTCCTGGTGTTGGTTCTTCTACCCATCCACAGTGTGCAGAATGAAAAGGTGGCCTGTCCATCTCTAATGCTGTGTTGGACCCCTCACCCTTGCTCTGTGCCCTCCCACTGCTGAGAGGTTCCCCAATGCTCCTCCACCCTGAACTCTGCCATCCCACAGTGTCCTGCCAGTGTCTCCCACGTGCCAGGCACAGTACTAGATGCCCATGTAGGAGCCCGGTTTACCGAGCACTCACTGCGCGCCAGGCACTGAGTGGACTCATTAGCACATGCTCATTTACATACATTTTGCATATATGGAAATGCCATCCTCCTAACAGATCTGTTTACTCCTCAGAAAACTCCTGAGAGGCAGCCGCCAGAGGATGGCCTTGTCACAGCCCAACTGAGAGGGTGAGGCTGCCCCGGTGATCCCACCCCGCAGTACAGAGGCCGCCGTGGTGGCCCCGATGCCCAGGCTCCGCAGCGGGCCACGCGCCGCATCCCTGGACACGGCTCTTACTGGCAGCACAGGAGCAGCTGGCGAGAAGGGTGTGGAGGAAGAGGCCGGCGGCTGCGGGAGGTGCCCAGAGGACTGCCCACTTCCGGAGGAGCAGGCCGGAGCCATGGTTACCTAAGGCAGGAGATAAGGAGGCCGGTTGCGCAAGGCGCAGGCGGAGGAGCTTCCCGTGACTCAACGCCCTGCCCTCCTGGATGAGGGCCCAGGGGAGAAGCCACCGGGGACGGAACTGGGATGCTCGGTGGAACTGGAACAGGGACTGGGATTGGGATTGGCCTTCGGGTGTCCAGGGCCCCGGTGCCTCGTCCACCCTCAGTGGTTCCCACAGAACCCGCACAAGTGCGCGCTGGTGTGAGGGAGCCCAGGAGAGCCCGGCCTCTGGACCAGCACGGAGCTCCTCCTGGGTGGCAGCTTCGCGGTGAACTTGAAATTGCCCCTGATTAAAAGTTACCCCAGTACACACAGGGCAGCAGCGCAAAGTGGAGACTCGGAACAGTCTTTAAAAACAGGGTTCGCTAAGAGAGAGGGGAGTCGGGGAGAGATGGAAAGGAGAAGGGAGGGAGGGAGGGCGAGGAGGGGAGGAGGGCTGCTGGCCCTTCTTGACCTCTCCCTGGAGTCCACCTTTCCTCTCCCACTTTGGCCTCTCATTTCTGAGTTGGTGACTGGCGCTAAGTCCGCCCTCCATGCCGGCCAAACTGTGGTTGGAACTGCGGGGCCTCCCACCATGTCCTGCGCTTCAGTGACCCAGAGGCCTTTGCTCTCCCTTGCTGGCCACTGCCTGGAGTCCTCGGGAAGCCCAGTGCTGTCCCCGACCCTTCCCCTCCCTCCTTCCTCCAGCGTCCACTCTGCTGCCACATCTGATTCCTTCTCCCTGGGACCTGCCCCTCTCCCGGCTTTTGTAGTTCCCACCCCCATCAGCTCATCCTGGGGTCTCTGCGGTGGCCTCCTGCCTGGCCACCTGTCCCCTGGCTGACTGGAGCCCCCTCTGTTCACAGACGTGTTCCCACATGTGTCGCCATCCCCTTACTCCAGAGAGCTCCTGCCTGCCATGTGTGTGTGTGAGTGTGTGTGTGTGTGTGTGTGTGTGTGGAGGACCAGCTGCTGCCCTCTGCAGCCTGGTCCTCTCTGACTCCTCGGCTGGAGCCACCCTCCTGCCTCAGCTTCCCAAGTGGCTGGGACCTCAGGTGTGGGCCACTGTCACTGGCTCCTGGTTTCCTCATAAAATACAAAACAGGGCTGGGGATGGGGCCCTGACTGTTGGGGGAAAGCCTTCTTTTGGGAGAGGATAAAACTGTAGTAAAATCGACTGTGATTAATGCAAACAACTACCAAAGTGTGTTTAAATTAAAACGTTAACAGTGTTGTCTTCGAGTGTGGGGGTCATCCTGAGTCTCCCCTTGTGGACCTCGTGCCATCTTTGGCAGCATACAAAAGGATACATTTATGTAATGCACATATGCATTTATATTACAATCTATATAATATTTGTCTGTTTCAGGACCGTTTTTAAAACCCCCTAAGTCTAAGGACTCTTTCAGGGTGTGCCCCCCACCCCCACCCCCAGCCATGCCCACACCTAGCAGGCACATCAAAATGCACCCAGACTCCACCATAACTCACTTCTCCTTCCTTCCATGGAAAGACAGGAAACATCGTTGAGAATTTTGCTCTTGAAGTTATTAGGCTCCACACCACTCATGTATGATGGGCTGTCAGCATGCAAACTTGGGGATTTGTGCCGGGGGAGAAGCGGTCACCTGTAGATAGCCTTCCAAAGTGACGAGACTTTTATGGATTATAAATTGTAAACTAACAATGTTGACATAATGTTGCATTTTATAAATATTTAAATATTAATTTAAATTTTTTTTTAGGGTTTTGTTTGGTTTTCCGTGCCAGGGATCCAACCCAGGGCCTCAGGATGCTAGGTGAGGGCTCTACCACTGAGCTGCATCCCCAGCCCAAGTTTGTTGGTTTCTGTTTCAACGAGAGAAACTTGACTTCACACAGGTTCAGGGGCGTCTGCCACCAAAGGCTGGTGTAAACGGCAGTTCTGGTTTAACCCTGCATCGGTGTACACATTTGAAACTGTGAAGCAATGATCCATTTCTGCTAAAATGTGGATTAAATCCATCCATTGGCCGATTTTGACATTTGTTGCAGACTTTATATTTGAGTCGTAGAGACTGAATTTTCTGTCTTCATCTTTCCTTTGGTGGTGCTGGGCATCTTACCAGGGCCTCGTGAACACTAGGCAAGCACTCTACCCCTGAGCTGCAGCCCCGGCCTGAGGCTACATTTTTGTCACGAGGGGCAGGGCGGTGGGAATAACAAGATAGCTTCTACTAAGATAATGAGCTATGACATTTACTCCCCAGTATTTCTTTGGCAATACACATACTGGCTGCTCCATTAGTCAGCTTTCCATTACTGTAACAAAATACCTGAGATAATCAACTTATAAAAGGGCAGGTTTATTTTGGCTCACAGTTTTGAAGGGTTCTGTCCATGGTGGTTTGGCCCTGTGGTTTCTGGGCCTGTGGTGATTTTTCAGTCTTTGTCTGCTGCGGGCTTGCTGGTCTCTTCTCACCTAAACCAACTAAACGTCAGCACTTCCTGACTCTTCAAAGCCAATATCGTCTCCTACTTCTGTGCACGTGGGAGTTGCATGACACGAATCCGCCTGAACCATAAATGGAGCTCAACAAAACCAAACACTGTCACATTCTTGAAAAAGTGATCAAAATAACCTTTTA